GATTTAATGGGTGCTTCCCCTCCAACTGTTGATCTCATGGCATTGCACGGCAATACCAGAGACCATTTAAATGTCTGCTTGTGACGTGGGCCGTGGTGAGTGATGCCCGGATCCATGGTTTTCCAGGGGGGAAGCATGAGGACAACTTTCAGAAGACCTGGTTTAGAGTTGTGGCTCTTCCATAAACTAGAAATATGATCTTAGTTCAGTGACTCTCATCACTGAGCTTTTGAACCCTCATCAGCACAAGATAGACAGAAACGTCTGTGTTCAATGCACATGGATTTTGTGAGGTTCACAAAGCACTATGGAAACCAAGAAGATCTGCATGAAAGTAATTATTAATATTACTGTCACCAGCTTCCTCAAGCATTATCATCTGCACACTAGTATAGGTACTGTTAATTACCTTGAGACATATATCCATATCCATCCTTCTCCTTGTCCTTATATCTCTTCCTTTTTTCTTTCTCTAATCCCAAAACTGAGAGATTTAGCACATAAATTAAGATAAAGATAGTTCTCTTCAAAATACCACCAATTCTTTTGCAATATATTATATCCCATATAATAAAAGCCTAATATACTAAATGACTGACCATTCAACCAGTCACTATGACAGCATTGACCACCAGGGGGTAGACACTCTGACCTCTAGATTAGCTTGCTACAGGGGTCTGGCCAACTGAGATTGGGTGAGACAGGCCTCCCCTTGGTCCCTCCCCTGCCCTGATCATGAACTGGTGGGGTCCCTCAGCCTGGCCTGCACCTTCTCACAATCTGGGACCCCTCAGGAGATGTTGGAAAGCTGGTTTCAGCCAGATTCCACAGACCAGGCCAAGGTATCTCACTGTTGCACAAATCCATGCACCAGGCCTCTGGTGTAAGTTTCACATACACACACACAGTTAAACACTTTAATATTCCTTGAATATCTGAAATGTTACTATATCAACATTCTCAAAAAGATTTTCTTAATCTTAACAAATTACAGGTTTAGGGATTCTTCAACACAGATCCTGGGCATTTCATTACCTGGACATTCATCTCTGACCTATGAAAATCCCCTGTTTCAACAAGTAAATGAAGAGCAGTGATCTGTTTTAAGCCTGAAAGAGCTAACAACAACTTTGTTAGGTTTACTGAAAGGTAGTTTGTTGTTCTCCAAGGTTTCACCTTCCTGAAAGATTTTTCAAGGACATATTAATAATAGATAATTTCAGAAGTTAACCTATTCCCCACATTAGATGGACCTCTAGACCTTTCTGGGGTTTACAGCATCAGTGCTTTTCACACAGTATGGGGCAGATTGCTGTCTTTTTACCTGACCATTGGCTGCCACAGATGAGGTTTAAGACAAAAAAGTGGGTGCTAGAGCTGCCCTGCCACTTTGGATCTAAGAGTGATGACTGGCCTTGGTTCCTGGCTCTGGGACTTTCATCTAACTCACCTTCTGAATATTAGAGAAAACACCCATCCCAGGAATGTGAAGATAATACATAGGACAAGAATCCCATGGACCACACAACAATACGCAGATATTAGCTTTTATACTAGTAAAAGAGCAAAGAGAAAAGTTTCCTCTATTTCTTTAAGAGGATTGTCAGTAAGAACGGAACATTTCTGCCTTATAAAGCCTTGCTTATAACAATATTTTTCAAGGAACTCAGCTCAGATGTGCAGGAAACACATTATGGTCAACTGTGGTATGCAAATTCACTGCTCTTCACACAGGAATACAAATCTAATCATGATCCCTCAAGTCTCGCAGTTTATGATTATGTCTCCTTTTCTTCACTTGTCTTTTTTTTTTTTTTCCTCTTCTTCTTGCCTTTTCCCTTACCCTCCTTTTCCTCTTCTTTTAAATTGTTCTAAGATGTAGGAAAATTAAAGCAGCTCATCTCAAGTACAGTGATTTATTTCTTTCATTTAAAAAAAAAAAAAAAAAACCTTAATGAGTTAAAGGCCAAGTTCCTCAGAATTGTCTCAACATAACAAAAGATCATTGTTGTAAGGTATGAAGGTAAGTTTTCCATCAGAAAGAAAAAATAAAAAAAAAAAAAAAAAAAAAAAAAAAAGCCAGTGAAAAGTGAACAGTCCTCACCTAGCAATTATTCAGTCTTTGGAAATTTCCAAGCCCTCTCCATCATTAATTCATTAATTAGAGAAGATGATGTTCCACATTACCTAAGATAGAAGTGTGACATAAAGAGATCTAGAGGCTTTCCTCAAGCTGAAAGAGGAATGTCACAGGAGGAACTGGGGTTAGACGTGGGTGCTCATTTTTCCAGCCAGTAGTCACAAAACTAAGCTAAGCAGAGTCAATACTGGGACAATAAGGTCTTCTGTGCACAGGTGCCATTGAATACGAGCAGTGTTCTGCTCAAAGACTAACTGTGAAAGAGCCCATCCCCTCTGTCACTAGTGCCCCCACAACACAGAATATATTTGTAGCCTCATCAGCCTCCTTCTTCTATCTCCAAACATAGACAGATGGCTAAATATCAACCTCTAACCACTCTCCTTAATAATCACAGAGAAAAGTACATGATTTGATTTCACATTTTTAAAATGCACAATGTAATGTTCAAACACATGACACTGTTGAAAAACAAATATTTAAACAAAAAAATTAAATGACATGGGATTCACTGATATCCAGAAACCATAATAGATTATTCTGAATAACTATAAAAAGAAAGAAAATAAGTTTGCATGCTTTTTGGTGAGTGGTTAATGAAAGTTCATTCCATCACCCTAAGTAGATTGACCAAGTCCAAATGCTAGTGATGTGGTTGGACCCAGCATCTTAGATCCAGGCCATGCACTGGGTGTTGATTCTTTTGCATCACTGGATTGGTTCCAATGCTGAATGAAGAAGGGCTTTCCATAATGCCCAGTGACATGATGGGAAAACAGGAAACTCAAAGACTAGCTTACCACTTCTCACAAGATTATTCCCTCCAGCTAGACATATGTTTTTTTTTTGTCTCAAGTCTGCTTTCCCCAGGTGAGGGTGATAGGATCCTAAAACAACTTTGGGCCTATCACTTTCAATTAAGACCATCACTCAGTCATCTGAAGTCAGGTTGCTTTGGATGGAGACAAAACTGCATTTATGCTACTTTGTGCTTAAAGTTTAGTGTCAATGATCCCAACTAAACATTTACTCTCCCATAGGGGAATTTATTGCAGTTGCACTAATGTGAGATAAAGTTGAATAATGCAATTGTTTTCTGGCCTGCTTGCTCTGGGGACCAGGAAGGACTAATGTCAATACACTGTAACACTAACAAAGGGCAAGGCTATCTAGGTTGGCTATTTTGGACAAACTTTATTTAAAAACCAAGCATACAAACAAACTTACTAACATGAATTTTCATACAGGGATTTTAGGAGGGAAAATGTTTTCCAAGAGCAATGTTTCCAAAACACTTAAAATTTAAACTAGAAAACTTTAAGTTGGAAAATGATCATGGCTGGACCACTTTCATGTAGAGTATTCATATAAAGGATGCACTTTTGGAGAAGGGTTCTTTTCTTCTAAGGAGCCTAGAATTTATTTTGGAGTACCATTAGAAGAGCACATACTTTCATTTGAAAATAGTGGTTTAATAACACACTCTTGGGAGAACAAGGACCTGACACTTCTGCTATAATGTTGAAATGTGAATGAATATATCTGTAAAGTGACAATGCAAAATGTGTTAAGGATTAAAAATATATAGATAGTCCTTCAACCTAAATTGCCCCCAAATTACCATTCAACTTTTAACTATTTCTGATTTCTCACAGCTGTTAATGAAAGGAAAAAAGCTGCTATTCCAACCAAATAGCTAAAAGCTAGCTTGATTTCTCCATCTCACTTCTTCCAAGTAATTCTTTCTCCTTGGTTCCTCTAGTAAAGGTAAAAGGACATACCATAATGCTGGTTCAGGTAATCTTGGAAAATCAAAATTGTATGTGAGTAGGTATATGTAACATCATACCTTACCTATTCAAAGGAATTTAATATGTTTACTTAAAAGACATACATGCTTGCAAGTAAATAAAACAATGGAAAAATAACTGTCATAAATATATTCTTTTAATTGCTTAATAGAGTTAAAGGCTAGAGAGTAAGATTCTTCTTGCAGGATCTGTAATGTGGATAGACAAGTGGTGATAAACAAGTGCCATTATACTGCAGCAACCTCTTCCCAAAAGAAATTAGACAAGGTATCTGCATTACCTTAGATCCCCTTGGCTCACCTGTCTCCTGGGCTGTTGACCACTTGTTGTGTCTTAGCTGCCACTTTGGTACCATCTTTGCTTGAGTTCTGACCAAGGTTTCATAAACCCAACCTGACAGCAGCTCACCTCATGTTTACCCTGTATACTCCTCACCTCCAGACCTGCTGATGCCCTGTCCCTTTAATACATGGGGTGCTATATATTTGTTTGGTGCCACTTAAATGATGTCTAAGTATGAGGAAGTTTCTGACTCACAGAGAAGCTTGGTTCAAGAGGAGACAAGAGCTAGTAGATAAATTATTTTCCCCTTTTGCCACCATAAAAAGATTACCCTGAGTTGATAGAGTTCATATGTTCTTTTGGAAGATGATTTTTCAGGATTGAAAAAGTAGATGCAATAGGTACTAAACAAGAGTCGTTTTGGTAACATAAACCCATATCCCCACTAGGATCTCCTTCTTTTTCTACTTCACTCATGCTTCTCCTACTTCACTCTTGGACCCAGCATCTTAGATCCAGGCCATGCACTGGGTGTTGATTCTTTTCCTGCACTACTGGATTGGTTCCAATGTTGAACCAATATAGAGATATATAGATAGTCCTTCAACCTAAGTTGCCCAAAAATTACCATTCAGCTTCTAACTATTGTAGTTTCAAATGAAATTAAAAGACCACATACATTTTTTTGCCTTAGACTCTGCTTTCTGGGAAGGCTGGCTAACATAGGCGGCCCTTTATTTATGTCAGTATGTCAATGAGTATCTTACCTTTGGCTGCAGTGGTGGTGCACAGGGGGCTGGAACAGGATCTGTGATATAGGTCTTCTTGGGACCAGCAACTGGATACATGCCAGTAGGGTGCTGGTTTCCTGTCCCAGAGGGAGTGTATCCTTGTTCCCGTTTCCAGGTATTGGGGTGACCTTGTTGACCATAGGCAGGATCAGAGTCATTTTTGCCCCCATACACAGGCCCTGCTGGGCTATAGGCTTCATAATAGTGCCCTTGGTTAGGGCCATACCCATATCCAGACTCAGGTTGAAGGCCTGGGGGTGGGTTATATGTATAATCCATGCCTCCCCGTGTTGGAGGAGGTGGACCTTGACCAGAAACAGGAACTGATTGAAGGTTATAGCCCTGCTGCCCTGATCCTGGGCCGTAAAATTGTCCTGGTGAAGGGGCAGCCATATAATGAGAGCTGGGTTGGGCTGATTTCACCTGCACGTTGAAGGTAGGCCTTGAAGGGGTGGATGCTGTAGTGTATGAGGCTGGAACTGGCTGTGGCTGGGGTTTTAGTGTCCCTATTGGAGCCACAGGGATGGGCCCACCCTGAGGTGCAGGCTGCGGTTTCAATGTAGACTTTTTGGTTGCTGTTAGAGGAGGTTGGTTTGGTATGACCATTCTTTTATGTCCAGTGACAGGGGTGGAGACTGGAGGAGAGGCTGTTGTACTGGCAGAGCCCTGAAAAGGGAGAGAAAGAAAAAAAGAAAAACAACAACAGACATTATTGCCAACGGAAAATTTAAAGAAATATATATTAAAAACTTCCAATTATTATTTTTGTATTAACTGCACAAAATACAAATACAGCATGGCTCTTAACTTCTAAGAGTTTAGAGACTAACATAAAATCGGCTGCATTTTTGTGAACTACCAATGGAAAATCCGTAAAAGAAGTCAAGGAAACAATTTCATTTACAATAACATCAAGATAAAAATACTTAGGAATAAACTTAAACAAAGAAGTAAAAGATGCAATTTTATATTAAAAAGTACAAAATGTTGCTTAAATAAATTAAAGAAGACACAGATAAATAGAAAGCCACCTGAGATCATGAGTTGAAAAACTTCAATATAGTTAAAATGCTAATACTTCCTAGAGTGGTCTACAGATTTATTGCTATAAATACTTTTCAAAATCCCAAGGGTGCCTATTTTGCAAAAAATAAAAAAAAGTCCATCCTAAAATTCATATGCAATCACAAGAACTCTTGACAAATGAAAACAAAATTGAAGATTTCAAACTGTCCAATATCAAAACTTATTATAAAATTTTAATAATCAAAATAGTGTGGTAGTAGCATAAAGACAGATATATAAACCAATGAAATAGAATAGAGAATCCAGAAATAAACGTTTGAATGCATGTTAAATTTATTTTTTACAAAAGTGCCAAGACCATAAAATGGGAAGAAAATAGTCCCTTTAATAAATATTGTGGGAACAATTGGCTATACACATGCAAAAGGATGAAACTGGATCCTTACTTTATACCATATACAAAAGTTAATCTAAAATTTTAGCACTAAACATAACAGTGCAAACCATCATATTCTTAAAAGAAAATATAGAGGGGTAGCTTCATTACATTAGATTTGACAATGTTTTTGTTTTTATTAAATATGTTAATATTTAACAAAAAACACTAACAACAAAAGAAAATATATTGAACACTGTGATCTTCATCAAATTACCCCAAAACTTAGTCACCATAGTGCTAAAGGAAGGCAGTAGAGAAAGAAAGCTGGAGGACTGGGCAATGGAAACCTAAATAAAAACATACATACATACATACATACATACATACATACATAAATAAATAAATAAATAAATGCTAAGAGGGTGTTGAGAACAACAAACATTCTGGCACAACCAAGGAGATGCTAAATTTTAGATCAAAGAGTAATTTACCATAGAAAACTGAAATGCAGCCTTGCCCTCTTATATCTTCCCAATGTCTGTTGAATTCATTCCTTCAACTCATAAATAATTACTATACTACTGAATATTACTCAGACATAAAAAAGACTGAAAACTTAACATTTGCAACAACATAGATGGACCTAGAGGGTATCATGCTAAGTGAAAGAAGTCAGTCAGAAAAAGACTAATATCATATGATTCCAATTATAGTGGGAATCTAAAGTACAAAATAAATAAATAAGCAGGACAGAAATAGACAAATAGATACAGAGAACAAATTGATAGATGGCCGATGGGAAGGGGTTTGGGTTACCAGGTATAAAAGGTAAAGGGATTAAGAAGTAGAGTACAGACTTGTAGTTATAAAATAGTCATGGGGATGTAAAGTACAGCATATAGAATCCTATCTAATAAAGAGAGAGAATATGCTAATTGACTGCCATGCCCACAAAGATGGTGGTGCCCACAGCCACAAGATGGTGGTGCTCAGTACCCTCAGCCCCACCAGCTTGGCTGCCTCTACTGCTGCCCCCCCCCCCAGTCCCTTCAGCCTTCAGCCACCCAGGGGTGGCCCAAGGTGCAGACAAGGCACCAATGGTGGCTGCCCAGTTGTCCAGGGCTGGCCCAAGGCACAGGTAACCAGGACCAGCCTAGGCTTGCACTGCCAGCAGTGGCAGCAACAGAGGTATGAAGGGGGGATCACCTTCCCCTGTCCCAAGGACTCCCAGACTGTGAGAGGGGGCAGGCTGGGCTGAAAGACCCCCCTCCAGTGCATGAATTTTTATGCACAAGGCCTTTAGTATAATTAATAACATTGGATCAATTATATATGGTGCCAGGTGGGTAACAATACTTATGGGGTGAGACACTTTGTTAAGTTATGTGAATGTTAAACCATGATGCTGTATACTTAAAAAAAAAAAAAAATATATATATATATATATATATATATATATATATATATATATATATATATATTATTGATTATTTTACAGAGAGGAAAGAAGAGGGATAGAGAGTCAGAAACAACGATGAGAGAGAAACATGGAGCAGCTGCCTCCTGCACACTCCTCACTGGGGATGTGCCTGCAACCAAGGTATGCCCCTCACTGGAACTGAACCTGGGACCCTTTATTCCGCAGGCCAATGCTCTATTTACTGAGCCAAACTGATTAGGGTAGATGCTGTATACTTGAAACTAATATAATATTCAATGTCAACTATAATTGAAAAAATAAAATATAACCTTATGTTGTTATCACAAAATTAAAAACAAAAGGAAATACTGAATGTCCTAATGACACAAAAATGAACTTCCCTTCCTTCTGAACCATGGAAGGCTAAAATTATGATGGGAGAAAAGTCAAGGTTAGTGAAAGCTTGGAGATCTAAACATTTGCCCTCAGGTATTATTCTACTAGGAATCTGCAACTATGCAAATGATGCAATGTTTTAATTTTGCTCTGAGATACTAAGATTAGATTTGTTGATATAACAAATAAGTGTACACACTCTAATCTTGTTGTTTATTAATTTACATGCAAATTCTAGTATGTAGAGGAAGAGAAGATGCAAAGCTTAATATTACTCTATTGTTATTTACTCACATCAGACTGCAAGAGATAATAGACACATGGAAAAGATGCTGCTAACTGCTTCCTAATCATATACACTTCCCTTCTTTATTACTCAAGAATTTCAATTTTTTTCAGGGCAGTGATATACGCACTTAAATATATAGCCCAATACTGTTTTGTCCATAGATAGAAGCTGTCATGTGACATAGTCTGGCCAATGAGATGTGCCCTAAACATTTTTGAGAAAACTAGGACTCTCCTGACATAAGCATCATTTCTTCCTACTTTTCTCTTTCCCCCTTCTTGCCTGGAATGTGGATACCATGCTGTAAATGGTGCAACTATCTTGCTCCCACCATCATATATATAAAAGCCTATTGACTCAGATATTTAGTGTTTGGGGAAGAGCTTTTCTAAGATTTAGGTTGATTCAGAGATAAAGATTAAAACATTCCCAAGGCCATTGGTTTACATTTCACTTCTAGTGATTGTCAACTAGAGAAAAACTAACTACTGGCCAGGGAAACCTTAGAAATGAATCAGTACTTTTTATTTTTATTTTTATTATTATTTTTTTTTAATCACAGTGACTAGGGCATGCTATTATCATTAGATGATTGGAGGACAAAACACATCATTGTCAAACCTCAAAAAACAATAGTGCCCCTGTTAACATTGATAGACTCTTGGGACACATATCATCTGGCAAGTTAACTGTGAGGTTCCCAATTGCCCAGAAGGGTCACTGTCCTCTCTAGAAATTACCCTCTACACCACATGTGTCAAACACAAGGCCCGCGGGCCAAATCCGTCCCGCCAGGCCTTGCAATGTGGCCCGCACCGCGCTGTCATCACTGCACTCCGCTGCGTTTCCATCACAGTGACAGTTTATGACTGTTCAGTAAACCATTCGGCCCACGATTTAGGCTGGATTTTTTATTTTGGCCCCTTCTCTGATTGAGTTCAACACCCCTACTCTACACAGTGGTCCTCAACCTTTCTAATGCCACAACCTTTTAATACAGTTCCTCATGTTGTGGTGACCCCCAACCATAAAATTATTTTTGTTGCTACTTCATAACTGTTATTTTGCTACTGTTAATGAGTCATAATGTAAATATCTATGTTTTCCAATGGTTTTAGGTTCTACAGCAGTGGTTCTCAACCAGTGGGTTATACAGATATTTACATTATGATTAATTAACAGTAGCAAAATTACAGGTATGAAATAACAATGAAAATAATTTTATGGTTGGGAGTCACCATAACATGAGGAACTGTATTAAAGGGCTGTGGCATTAGAAAGGTTGAGAATCACTGCTCTACAACAATCTCTCTTTCCTGGTCCAAATAACTGCTCTCTGCCCTGGTCCCCTTGAGCCTAGAGAAGATGACCACTCTGACTCTGCTAAGCCCAGATCATCAGGTTGTCCCTGTTACTTCTCTGTGCTTCTATTTATAGGCTGCCTTTATAAATTAACTCCCTGAGAGAAGCTAGCTTCAATGTGACATTATTTTTTTATGGAATCCTGACTGTTACAGATATCATTCCCACATATTTGTCACAATTGCTGTTTCCTAGGGATTTTGCAAATCTAGATTTAGTTCTGTTAAGTTGCAGGAGGCAGTTGAATAGAGTTATATGCTTCCCCTTTTTCAATATTAATCTTTGAAGGGGAATACTTGCAATTCACATTTGTAATTTAAGCAACCTGGATATTATTATCTAGGTAGAGAGAACTTTACCTTCTCCATAAAGGTGGTTGCAATAGTGCACAATGGAAAGAATTGCAGTTTTCTCATTAAAAAATATTTAAATGTATATCCAGAGGAAACTCTAAAATCAATATTCAGTTAAGAGGGTCAGGATTTTCTAGTCAACCTTGTTAGTTTTTAAAAAATGTCAGCATAAAAGACTTGAATGAAATGGAAGAAATCAAGTTTTTCTTTGATGACTCAAGATCAGCAGAATTTCTGAGTTCCTGTTTGGAACACTTAAAAAACCCAACTATAAATGGAGATGGTGACTGAGCAACAGGACTAGTGACGGGCACTCTCTGCTGCAGCTGTAAGAAGTCAGCCCCCAAAACAGATGCCCCAGAAGTGACAGATTTTGAAAATGAAAATCAATCACCTTCATAAAATCAATAACAACAAAGATATGATTTGTGTAGAACTGAA